TAACTTCGAAAGCATTTCAGCAATAAAGTATGAACCTGTTAAAAATGTTTTAATTTTATACAGATATTAAATTATAATGCCTAGAAATACACAGCAAAAGTAAAGCAATTACTGTTGGCTGCTACCCAGTCATGGCAATGCCGTGGTGTTGTGTGTGGTCTCTGACACCATTGTCCTGTCTTTTTCTTGTCTCTGCTCTCCCATTATGCCATTGGCAAGGAGTTGAGAAGTTAGTCCATTACTTCTCTGACAAAGCGTGGTACAGTACAATTTCAGATTTTTTTCTGCCGCCTTCCATCATTTTTTCCCCCCAGTTTGCATGATGCATGTCGGAGCCTGCATGAAATTCAGGCATGTTAAGATGGCTTCACTACCATCTTCTTTTTAATCTCTAAAATATATTTAGTAGTAATATTAGTAAGAATAATGTACCAGGAAAATAATTTTAGGTAATTCCTGTGTCTGGTTTGACACTTCAGAATATTTCCTTCTTTCTCGCTTACATACTTTGAAATAGTTTCACCAACCAGGATATTTCTCGCTGCCATTTTACTGCTTGGTGACTCCAGAACAGGAATGTTTATAGGAGCTGATACATGAGTATTTATAAATATGAATGATAGAAATCTTTGAAGTGTGATGAACCACAGTGAAGATCATGAATTCTTCTCAGCAATGAAGAGTTTTATGATTGAAGTGGATGCATGTGAGCTTAGATGACCAACATTGGAAAGAAGGGAAACTGTTCCTTCAAAAACCAGAGCATAGCATTTCCCATTATTTATAATGCATCAGGCATTATACCGAGTGCTTTGTAGTCATGTTTTCAGTTTTTGTGTAAAAGCACTAAAGTGAGGTGTATATAATGTTGTTACACTCTTTTTAGGAAAATAAGTGGTTACACTTCAAAATGGTAAGATAATTTACTTAGTATCTTACCACAAATGATAATGATAAAGTTAGAACTAAAACTCAGCTTTTAGTATGGTTCGGTAAGCAGAGTGGTTCAGTACTGTGATAGCACCCCTACATATCTGTATGCATAGTCTAAGTGCTTTTTTGTCCTACTTCTGGTTTATTTTTAGGAAGGCATATAAGGATCCTTGATAATACTGTACCTGCCATTTAAAGCATTGACATGTGTATTTGAAGCCTAGGAGCACCTTTATTTTGTGTTAGTAGTCTGTTACTAGGACTTCTGTAGAATGTTTCTTTCCCAACCCCATGATCCAAGTCATGCCTTGAATTAATAATCACATAATTTCCAATACTCATAGGTGATATTTATTGAGCTCTTCTGATGTACTAGGATAGCCTTGTGTTTTAAAAGTATAATATTTAATTATTGTAATTAGAAGTGGAAAATAGTTGAGTGCTTGCTAAGACAGCCCCCCTCAAATATACTCAACTCATCCAGAAATATTAGTCTTTGGGGAAAAAATATTTGTGGCTTACCTGGCACCAACTAGGAGATGCAGTATTCAAATTAATATCTAATTATCCTCTTGTCTTCATAAACATGAATTATTCAGCTAACCAGTTTTTTAATATTTTTATTAATGTTTTTAAAAACTTGTTCTTACTTGATTATTATTACTGTATGACTTAGTTAATTGAGAAGTGTGTTGATAATTTATTACCAAAGAATCAATTCTGTAGTATACCACGTATTAATCCTATTTATGTATTATTTATCAAATATGTATTTAACCCCCACTACATACCAAATATTAGAAATTCCAACCATATCAATAAAAATGAATAAAATGTGATCTATGCCTATAAGGAGCTCAAAATGTCTAGTGATCTTTATACGCCCTGAAAGTAGACATTTAGGATAGTCATTGGAGATGCTTACAGTTCTCACACAGTTACCCAGTAGTGCCTTCTTCAGACACTCTTGATCATGAAACCCATAGCCATTGCACTGAAAATTCCTTGAATTGGGTATGTTCAAGAACATGTATATAACTAAAGTAAGATTTGAAGTTGCTGAGTTCAGTTTGAAACCCTTAGCTTTTTTAAGTCTGGGAATGAGCCCCACCTTTTGAAACTCCCTTAGTTTCAAAAACCTTTTCTCAAGTTGCAGAACAAAAGTACTTAAACCCTCCATTTTTATGACAAAAAGGAGCTTCCTCGCAGTAGTGAGTGGTTTTTCTTCTGCCCTCTAGACTTGTGAGCTATTAAAGTGAATGTACCCATGGGCAACTTCCCTAGACATTGTTTTTGATGTGGGGCAGTAATATCTTTCATCTCCAGTGCCAGAAACCTGGAATTCATCTTCAGTTCCTCTGAAACAACTTCTTCCTTTCTTGTGCCACCTTCAGAGCCATTTCCAATCTTACCTGACTGTTAACAATTGTTAACTCCCTGGCTGTTGTATTTCAGTCCTATCTCCCTCAGTTGTAGTCCTCATTGACTGACGGGTCCAGAGTGACATTTGAAAATACTCACAGGATTTTCTGATTCCTTCTTAACTATCAAAGTCTGCTGTTGTCTTGCACACGAGTCAGAACTACTTAGCCTGCCATGTGTTCCTTTATGCGCTGCCCGTGCCTACACTCCCCCACCAGTACTGTGGTCTCCATATCTGATCTTAACAACCAGAAGTTCCTGGAACTGTGTTCTCTATCTCCTCTGTGTTTAGCATGTACTAGGCTTTCTATTAGGCTTTCTGAATATTTTTCCTTCTTGTCAACTTGGAAGACTACTCCTCATTCTTTTAAAACTGAGTTCAGAATCTGAAATTCTTGTATCCCCTTTGTGATCTCTCTGGCTGGGCATGATTTCATTTTTCCCCCCATAATGTTGTTCTGCTTAAGACCTGGTCTGACTTGTTTCCCTGTCTCTCTCTAGACCTCTCGACCACAGATACAACATGGTTTTCATTGACATTTTTTCCCTAGGTCTAATTAGAATACATACATAGTTTTTTAAATTTTTATTGTTTAACGACTGATCTTGGGACCAGGAGGTAGTACAGAGGTTATAGCTCATGCCCAGCATGCCCCTGATCCAGCTTTGTTTCGGTTCCCCACCGCCACCCCAACACCACTGGGTGTGGCCCAGAAGGGTCCTAGCACTTCCAGACTGGTCCAGTTATCTCACACCGTGAACTAGGGAACACCATGTCCTCAGGCCTTTGCTTGGAACCACCAGCTCGCTAGTTGGCTGAGAGTTGCCAGCGGGGCCCTGGGCCTCCTGAGGACAGCTTTCCCTGCAACCCACCTGCGCATGCACACGAAAGAGAGATGTTTGATATTTCTTCCTGTTGGGTCTTCTTATCTATGAGAATGTGGAATCTTTCATTTTTTACTTTGAATTCCTTCTGAAGATGACAGCATAGACACACTAGTGAATATGGGGAAGATGCCTTTGTATTAATAGTTAAGCATTTATAATTTATGAAAATCGCACTACAAGGTGACACAGAACACATCTGCTGTGCTTGCTGGAGGTTAAGAGGCAGTTTCTTGTTCAGTTTTCTAACTGTTTATTAATGATTGTTCAGTCCTTAGCGGGCAGCCAGTTCTATACTTATCACTTATCAGGAGAACATTATTTTCTTGGTCCTTGCTATAATCTTTTCTTTTTCTCCAAGAGACTTTTTTTTTCTTTTTAATAGTAGAATTTATTTACGAACTAGTTTTCAAATAAATTACAAAATGGAGAAGTTATAGCAAGCCACTAAAATCGACAATCTTTAAAAACTATTTAAGGGGCTGGAGAGAGTGTAGCAGTTAGGGAACTCCCCCACTGAAAGATAGCTTGAAGATTCGTATTTTTTTAATTGAACATCCCAGAGTAATGTAAGCTGTATGTTTTCTCTTAATTATTGAAAATAAAGCCACACTGTGAACTCGGGAGCAAAACCTATTTGGCACTAAAAACTTGGTACTTGTGAACTATTAGGTGAAGACAGTTTGTAGGCACACTTATTTTTTCCACCCATCATTTAACAAACTGTTTCTTTAAATTTTATCTTAATTTTTAAAATTTGTTTTGGGGCCACACCCAGTGGTGCTCAGGGCTTATTCCTTGCTCTGCACTCAGGATTCATTCCTGGTGGGGCGTAGGGGACCATATGGGATGCCCGGGATGAAACCCAGGTTGGCTGCTTGCAAGGCAAATGCACTACCCACTGTACTCCCACTCTGGCCGTTTCTGTTTATTTATTTGGGTGGGGAAAGGCTGCATTCAGCAGTACTCAGGGCTGCTTCTGGCTTGGTACTCAGTAGTTATTTTTAGTTTTACTAAATAAATGCTCACTCTTCAGCATTCTTTCTCCCCCCTTCCACGAGAACCCTAGTTGCTGCTCTATATGGTGATGAGACAGAACAAATAAGCCGTAGAGACATTTCATTTTTAAGAATTCTAATAAGATTGTTAAAGGTAGATTGACATTAACTTAATATTTTTAAACGTTTTGATTTTTTGTTTGAGTTTAACTTTTGTTAAGGATTTGACTTTCATTAAGTAGAATAGCATGCTAGTAATTTCAGTTCTTGATAGGGGTACAACTTCTTGGTACTTTTTATTAGTGAACACCTCTCAACAAATGTGGTCATGTGTTACAAAATTTTTCTTTTACAAATACCTTAAAAGTAGTAATATTCTAATGGTTACAGTTATAATCTGAATTTTTTTTATGGAGGTAAAATCAGAGAACTCTAGAAATAATTCTATTAAGCTCACATGTCAGGTTTTAAGTACTAGTCTTAAAGGTAGGAATCTTTTGTATGTTGTAGAAAATCAGTACTTCTTTCCCCTCCTTCGATTTTATTTTTTTATATTATTGTTGGCTGCCTGTATCATTTTTTGTTTGCATTTTCACTCATATGTCTCATGAATTTATTTTAATGTTTTACTTTTTAATGAAATTCCACACGTATTAAAATATATTGAGTACAAACAAAACCTAAATGGATCCTAATTGAATATTAAGCCTGGATAACGTTTATAAAATAAATTTTTGCTAATTTTATTTTTAATTTTAATAGCCTCAAGTACTACAGCCTTCCAGCAGCCTTCCCCGACCCACAGACCACGCCCAGGGAAAACTAATAAAACCACAACATACCGAGGTCCACAGTGAACATACAGTCCAGGGTACACATCATGGTGTTGCACGTCTGGACAGAAGCTTTATCCCCAGCTTGAAGCAAGAAAGCAACCAGGGTCTGGAAGAACGTCCTTTTTCTGAAGGTCTTCAGTTCACTAAGGACGAGGCTATGGGTGCATCTTCTGAAGCAAACACGAACACGAACGTGGATGCTCAAAAGCCTTATCATTTGGCAAGTAATCAAAGTAGTGATGAGCAGTTGGTACACACTTCTCTTCAGACACCCCCCCAGTCAAGTATGGCAGACCAGGCTAAGAGAGTTGGAAGAAATCATTCTTCACCAGAGGGCTACGCGCACCAGCCCCAGTCCTCGCAGCATTTTAAGCCATCCAAGTTGAACTCTTTGGTACCTACTCCAGTTTCTGAATCATCACCAAGTAGAACTCCCACTTGTACGATGTCACCAATGATCACACCATGTGATTCAGCAAAACTTCAGCCAACATCTAGTCAAATAAGTCTTGCAAATTCAAAAGTATCTAAGCTCCGTCCCCCTTCTAGCTCTTTCAAACAAAAACAACTGGGCTCCCCACGAGTTGAACCTCAAAATTTCCAGGCCAAGACAAGCATTCCAAGGCCACTAATGAGAAGAAAAGAAATCATGCAGAATCCAAATGGCAGTTTGAATTCTGGGGATTGTTTGGCCTCTAATCGTTATTCTCGTCTTCCTAAACCAAAGATGCATTAAGTATTTAGCCATCACCTGCAAATTTGCTTTGTTCTTAAAAAAAAAAATCTGTTGTATAATAGCATATAATTTGCTACTATGATGCAGGTTCCATTGAGAGCTTGCAAATCTTAAAATTAAAATATGGAAACATACTAGTTTGACTCTTCCATTTTATATCCTGGTTGAAATACATAGCATTTGTCTCAGGTAAACACAGAAGTTTGCTTACCTATCTCAGAAGCATATAGAAGACTTCAATCATATTATCTATCCCCTGCACATCAGGAAACTATATTCCATTTAGCAGGCAAGAAATGTGTGTTGCTAATGCAGTCCTTCTAGGTCTGTTTTAACTGTGATTCTCACCCTTTTCTTTCATGTGTCCCTCATGTAAATATGGCTACTATTTTAACTAAAGATTTGGTGATAATGGAAGACGATAGTTGGTAAGCAGAGTTCTGGCCAGTGATTTGTATATTTAAAAGGTCTATGCAAAGCTCTGTAATAAAGGAGATCAGTCTTTTAATGAGGAGTCTATAAAAGTTTTATATATTTTTTTTCTGGGATCAGGAAGCTAGTAGTCTCAATATTTGTTTATCAGTCAGATTGCCCACACTTAAAATGTTTCGTATAACATATGAACTTATGTTGCTTGAACATCTTGTTTTATATACATACACACCTGTCATACCCCAGTTTTTAATTGTTTTTGCTTTTGGATACATTTGGAAAGCTTGAGATAAAGTTTGAATCCTTATACCTAAAGGTATTTATTTATAAATATATGTCAGTGAAGGTTTTCCTAGTGATTTAGTTTTGAGCTTATGGATCCATTTTAAAGTTTCACTGCATATATTTTAAATGGTTTTTATTGTAATATTTATATTTATTGAATTACTGCTATTATCCGAAGACTGGAAGGAATAGATTTGAAATGTTTGCACAAACCTCTGATGGGCTATAAATAACCATACAGATGATTTTAAGGCTATTTTCTATAGTAAAGCAAGTGAAGATATTTTGAGAATAATCATAAACTTATTTAAGACCTACTCTAGAGAAAAGCAGAATTCATGATAGTTTTATTGCTGTTTCTTTCCCCGCAAGTTTTCTAGGCTTCCCTTTTATGTTTATTCACTTTGACAGTTTCTTGAAAAGTAGATTGGGAAGAAAAGTACAGTTGGAGAGAACACACTGTAACTTATAAAAAAAGTAATAGAAGATAAGTCTAGGGAAATACGCTAATTTATTTTAATGTGCTGTGAAAGTAGCTGTGGAACCTTCCAGGAACCATATCTACTAACCTAATCATGCTCAGGCCCACTCATGAGCTAGGTCAGTAAATTTCTCCTCCTTTTCTCCAAAATCATGTCAGTCTTAGACTTCACCTATAATGCTTTAAAGTTAATGCTTTAATTGAAGTGAATGTTTTTTCAGACAGCCTTTTAGAAATTTAATTTTTGTTTTGATCCGCTGAGCAAAGATGTGTTAAGAGGAATTCTGGCCAACAACCTCAAATTTCTGGAAAATTTTCTTTTTTTGTCAGGGATTGAACCTAGGGTCTCATGCCTTTGCTCTGCCACTGGAGTACTCAAGGAATTCCTTTCAAACACACACATTGGTGACACATCTCTCTTTTCCATTGCCTTTTGGGGCCATGACTGACTGCTCAGGGGCTGTTCCCAGCACATTGGCCAGGTGTGACTCCCAGCAGTACTGGGGGACGACACAGTGCTCGGGATCAAATCAGGCCTCCTGCATGCACTGCCTGTGCACTTAGCCCCTTTGAGCTATCTGCCTGGCCCTGTCTCCATTTTTCCCCTTTTCTTTTTCTTTCTTTTTTTTTTTTAATTTTGTATTTATAATTACTTTTGTTTTTGTTTGGGGGCCACACCCGGCAGTGCTCTGGGCTTACTCCTGACTGTACTCAGGAATTACTCCTGGTGGTCAAGGGACCATATGTGGTACCCAGGGTCAAACCTGGGTCAGCCACATGCAAGTCAGAATGCCCTACTGCTGTACCAGTGCTGCCGCCTCCTCTGTTTACCTTTTAAGAGCACTAAAGCTGGTGCTTTAATGGAAATTTACGAAGAGATGTTTGTTACCATTTAGGCTTAATGTGCCTTTATCAGGAAAAGCATTTCAGTGAATTTACCATTCACTAGATACACAACGTTCTTGATAAGAGGTAAACGACACAAATTCGACTAATTTCATTCCACGGCATTCTGTGGAGAAACACTAAAATTCTGAAAGTTTTTTCATAGCCCAAATATTATTTAGTATAAAGTGGCCAGACATGTAGAGTGCTTGTTTGTTCATAAAAGTGCATTGTGATAACAGCAGCCATAAGTGAGTACACATGGTCTTCCATTGTGAAAGAGAAAACTGATTATATATAATGCAAATTGAATATATCACACTATATTTCCCTAATGTAAAACAGACCCATAAGCTATTAGGTTTTGGTTTATTTAGAAGAAGGGTAGACTCTCAACGGAACATTATTTACAAGTAGGCCTTTATTTTTATGGCAAACTCTTGAAATTTTTTTTAACACCCTGTTAACTCCTACAATTTTGCATACTCTTTTGCCTACGCTATTGCATATGTTTTTCTCCGTAGGAATTTCCAGAAATACTAACCCATGAGTTCTACTTCTCTGTACCTTTGTTGTACCTTCATCTTGGCCGAAATCTCATTAGCATAATTATGCAGCATTGTTAATTGAAGACAAAAATAGCATACATGTATAAAACAAGTGTTTTCCAACGGTTTTCTTTATAAACCATGAGAATATTATGCTGCTCTGATTCTTAGTGTTAAGTTCAAAAATAAGATGAGGATGTAACTGACCTGAATAATCATAGGTCATTCTCTCAGATTGGCTTGATCTCTGTCTGTTGCTTCTGTAGGTTAGCTCTGTGCCATGTCCTCCACAGGAACTTTTCTTAGTTCTTGTGTTGTAGGTAAAGATGGTCACAGTGTATAAATTCTGAGTCCTTAGGAAAAAGCTTTACAGGGTCAAGTTAATTATATATTTGGCTGTTAATGGATGCATATCACTTTACATTTTTTTAAAAAAAGCTTGGCCAAGTGAAATAGTACAAGCGCAGATGATGTTAAAACATTAAAATTAAATAAAAGATGGTAGAGTTATGTCATTTAAACTATTTCTAATAACTAAAGTAAAGTAATAACTAAGACCCTTTAAGCAATTTTCTTTGGGCATATCATTTTAATTTGCATAGTATTTTCAGTCTTATAGGTTGTTGTTTATTGTATTTATATAGGTATTAAGGGATCTTGCTAAGTATTTTACCAAGTAAAAATCCGAATATCAAAGAAAATTTTCAGATTTGCACTTTAAAATGAGCTTAATTGCTTGGAGTTGTGCCTGAAATCTCTAAACGCCTCCTACTGGGTGTGGCTGTCTTCTTTGACGTGAATTTCGCTATGATTGCTGCTTTTTGAGGTGCAACGTTTCACAGAATCCAAGCCTTAGCATGTCACTTTTCCCACTGAAGCACTGAGTTCTTTGAATTTTCTTTTTCCCCTTGAGTATTTCACCCTGTCTGTCAGAGATCACGATCCACATAGAGCTGGCAGCAGAGGTGTGTTGCCGACACAGTGGCGCCCTCTTCATCTCTGAGCACAGTTGTGATGACGGTTTTCCTGGTCTGTAGGGCCTCAGAGTGTAATTTTCTGTCACCAAATGGGCCTATAACAAAGAATAATTGAGAGTGCAGCACATTTCATTTATTCTCCATCTTATACAGTAATTTTTGTGTTTAAAAATTAGTTGGAATCATAAGTTTTGCATGTTCATACATACACCTGAAAATTATAATTATAATACAGATGCCTGGTTTTCTTTTGGGATGATAGCCTTACTATTTTTCTTAATTCTGATGCTTGAATTGTATTTTTTAATTTCACTTCCATATCATCTTTAAATTTTTATGCTGCAGCAATTGAAAGAACACTTTTCGATAAATTATTACAGTGGGTACCAATCTACAACTTGATCTCTTAAAAAGAACCCTTAATTTAACCTTGTAGGGAAAGCCATCTGCTTTCTCCTTTGATAAAAGTATTGCCATGAGCAAATAATCTGACCTATGAATTTAAAGTCTGCCATTACTAAGGAAAAACAAAACACATTATTTAATATTTACTATATTGTTTTTCCCATTCATTTATAAAACCGTTCAGAGTAATAATTGTATATTAGAATTTGCTTGTAAAATGGATTATAAAAATTGGATGTAAAGTCTTTCTTGAAAATGTTGGCATAATCAATAAAAATAAAGTTCATAATGTAAATCTTTATGTGTACTTGATATTGATTTGGGTCATAGTCTATTTTTTTCCTCAGAGATATTTTATTTCCACAGCTATTTATTTGGTTGGGTTTTTCAGAATTCACATTGATACTTTACACATTCCAAGGCCTGATTGAGCACTTGTTTGTTGTTTCAGATTCAGTCTTTGTAAGTGACCAAAAACTTTTTTTTTCATTTTAATTAAGCATCATTATTTTCCTAGGAAATGTTGGAGTAGTGGATAATTTTTGCTTGAAAAATACTGGCACTCCGAGGCAAGGATGCTGCATAACAAGGAGACATGTTTTAACTGTTGTTTCATTGTTACCAAGCATCACATGTAAATAATAGCTTAATACAAGAAGACTAGTGAAATTCTAATGTATTGCTCAGATCTGGTTTATGATGGTGCTCCAGGGTACCATGTGGTGCTAGGGATCCATCCTGAGCCCTCGCATGAGCTCAGCACAGTAAAAACTCTGTCCAGTCCTCATGTATGGTTTTTAACATCATACTTTGTGAGTCAGGATTGCTCTTGTTCTATTCATCCTTTGGCTTTCCCATAGCAAAATTTCCTTTTCAGTGCCTTCCCCCCTCAATTTTCATTTCATTTTGGAATTCTCTTACACTGTTCTCATCTTTGCTTTTATGTTATATTTCATTCTTAGTTCCATATCTTCGTTTCCCTTTGAAAAACTGTCCTCTAGAAGTCTAATTTTATTCAAGAATTTCATTTGTTGTCATATTTTATATTATTAACTATCCTATCATTTATTACGTGTTTAGTCCAAATGTAATGTTGAGATTTTTCAACTGTCTTAAGCCACCTTCCCTTTTACACCCTCTCCATTTGGTCTCATTCTGAAGTTTGATTTTAACATTCATTTTCTTTGACTTTTTTTTGCTTCTAATTCTCTTAAATAGACATGAAATCTAGAATGGGTTAGTGTTTCTGAAGTGGCTTTGCCAGGGGCAACAGGTGAGATGGTGGAAATGGGAACCCATGACATGAATCTAGGCAGTCAGGTAGTAGGATGGGGGTGGGGGGTGGGGGTGGTAGGGAGGCACAGGAAGGAAACCAGGTTGAAAGGCAGCTGTGCTGGGAAAAGGTTGAGAAATGTATGTCTAATACATATCTGAGGTTACTTGCCATTTTTTCTATTTGGTTTCTAGGTCATGTAGAATTACTTTTCATTCATGAAGTTTTCCCAAGATAGAAACAGTTCTGCCAGTAAAATTGTTTCTGCTAGTCCCCATATTATGAAACATGACCTGTTTTCTTTTTACACATGAAATGAATTCACACGTTATTTTTGAGTATGTTAATGCTTATTTTGTTGGTATTTTAGGTGTTTTGTGGTTTTCAGTCAAATGTTAATCTGCTAAAAGTTTTCCTTTTATTCCTTACAAATAGTGTTAAAATGTTTGATTGGGCCACGCCCAGGGTTTTGTGGTAGGAAATGAATGAGAGTGTCTGTGGTATGAAAAAATTAAAATTCCAGTAAGTCATCACCAGAGGACTGTAAGAAAGCTGAATTTATAGTAAGTAAAAGTAAGTAAAGGCCCTCCCGTTGATCATCGATTTGCTCGAGCGGGCCCAGTAACGTCTCCATTGGAGACTTTGTTGTTACTGTGTCTGGCATATCGAATACTCTCGGGAGCTTGCCGGGCTCTCCGAGAGGGGCGGAGGATCGAACTTGGGTCGGCCATGTTGGCTGCGTGCAAGGCAAATGCCCTACCGCTGTGCTTAGTTATTTTTAATTCCTGTTAAATCAGTTCTAAAACTTATTTCCCTTATATATTTATGTTATGATTTTAAAAAAACAGCTAGGGAATAGACTCAAATATAAAGTACTTTTCTTACATGTATAAAGAGCTGGGTTCTATTCCTGACATTGCAAAAAAATATATATAGCTATACAAAACTTAGATTATCACTTACTATGAACAGCACAGTCAACCTGAGATACTAAATGATTTCAAAATATTGAGTTATAAAAATTAGAACGATACAGAGAAGATTAGCATGGCCCCTGCGCAATGATGACGTGCAAATTCGTGAAGTGTTTCATATTTTTTGGGTATTTGATCATTGTATAACTGAAACCCAAGCACAAAAATTGGTAAGTCTACAACTGTACCTCATGGTGTTTCACTAATAAAAATTTAAGGAAAAAAATATTGAGTTATAGAGAATGCTGCATAGTATAAATTAAGGGTAAAGTAAAGTAAAGGTCCTCCCGTTGATCGTCGATTTGCTCGAGCGGGCCCAGTAACGTCTCCATTGGAGACTTTTGTTGTTACTGTGTCTGCATATCGAATACTCTCGGGAGCTTGCCGGGCTCTCCGAGAGGGGCGGAGGAATCGAACTCGGGTCGGCCATGTTGGCTGCGTGCAAGGCAGACGCCCTACCCGCTGTGCTATCGCTCAAGTAAAAATATTAATTGCAATGAAAAGCAAAAACAAGGTTTAAGATCAAGTGTTAACGATTACTCTTTGTAAATGATGTTCCATTCTAATGTTGAGATGTAACACATGCTCTTCACATCTCTCACTACTTTAGGGTTATAGATCCAAGACTATACAGAGCTTTGGTTTTCAGGAGAGTTTGAGTCCCTTAGAGAACTATCAGGATGAGTTCTGACCTTAGACCTAATGTAATTGTTGGCATTCTGAAGAGAAGTTGAGCAGAACAGCATGATTAGTGATCTCTACTTGCCTTTTAGAATTCTTTTGGAACTTAAGGGATAAGCAGAGGAGATCGTGAACATAAAATCGTTTGTGGAGGGGTTGGATTCAGAGCAAAGGGGTTAAGGCACTTACCTTGCTTTGTGGCCAATCCCAGTATGATCTCCAGCACTACTTAGGGGTCTTTCAGATGCTGCCAGAAGAGACCCTGAGCACAGAGACAGGAGTAAGCTCTTAGTACCACCAAGTGTGGCTCTAAAATACAATAAAAAATCATTTCTCAGTATTGCAGTAGATAATTGTCATGAAAATGTAATTTTTGCTGGTAGAAAGATACAGAAAGTGGCAGACTTTGTGTATATCTATATGCACAGGGCTATCAAAAAGAATGGAAACTTACAAATAAAGTAAAAATGATTTAATTGTTTCCATCATGTGATAAAGCTATAGTCAGTTCATTTAGTGTTTTCTCAATATTCATATAACATTGTGGGCTGGAGCAATAGCACAGCGGTAGGGCGTTTGCCT